TCTGAAGGTCCTCAAGGATTTGGTCAGTAAGCAGGACACAACCAGAGATATCCAAAATGTGCAGGTAATGGCATTTTGCCGATAACATCTCCATCGCTGAGTCAGTAATCTGAACACAGAGCCAAAGTAAGTACTGGCTATTCAAACACTATCTCAGGGAAGAACAGTGCCTTAGTCACTTTGGGCGACTATAATAAACTACCACAGACTGTGTAGCTTAAACATCAAACATTTATTTCTCACAGTTCTAGAGGCTGGGAAGTCCAAGATCAAGATAAAGATAGAGGTACCTGCAATTGGTGTCTTGGGAAGTCCCTCCTTATTTGCAGATGCCTCCATTCTTGCTATCTTCTAACATGGCAGAGAGAGAGAGAGAGAGCTCTAGTCTTTCTCTTCTTATATGGCCATAATCCCATCATGAGAGCTCTACCCTTATGATCTCTTCTAAACCTGTTTACTTCCAAAGGCCCCACTTTCTATTACTGTCACAGTGGGAGTTAGGGTTTCAACATAAGAATTTTTGAAGGACAAACATTCAATTCATAACAAATAGAGTAACAAAATCAGACACTTGCAAATTCTTTTTCCCCCAGCTTGTCACATAATGGGCCTACAATTCAAGTGAGTTGTTTAGCTGTTTCCAAATAAGGTCAGGACAGTAAAATATCTGCCTCAAGTAGCACCAATAGAAATTATGATCTTAGCAAGGCACGGTGGCTCATGCCTATAATCCCAGCACTTTGGTAGGCTGAGGCAGGCAGATTGCTAGAGCCCAGTTCGAGACCAGCCTGGGCCACATGGTGAAACTCCCAATACAAAATACAAAAATTAGCTGGGCATGGTGACATGTGCCTGTAGTCCCAGCTACTTGGGAGGCTGAGGTGGGAGGATTGTTTGAGCCTGGGAGGTCAGTGATGCAGTGAGTCAAGATCACGCCACTGCACTGGGTGACACAGCCTCAGTGACAGAGCGGGACCCTGTGCCCCACGCACCCCCCCCACACCCAACACACACAAAGTTGTGATCTTGCTGTTATTTTCATTTAAGAGTCCTCTGGTTTGGATGGGAAACTTCATCAAAATTTTTTAGTAATACCTGTTACACCAATATGAGCAACTTATGAAATGCTATAGAGATGGGATTTGGCTTTAAGTTTAAAATCCTCTCTAAGGCATCATCAATGTGAAAATATATGTTTAATAACATTACATGTTACAAAACTACAAAATATATATCCTCCGAAGTTAATCTGCAGACAGGCTCATATTACTATGAGAAGGGACCTGGACATCACTGTTGGTTTAGATGTAAAAAAGATGGAGTAACCTAGTTCTGGAAAGGGACAAGTAGGCCAGACAGATGTTTGGAAGCAAGGGGAGAATGAGAAGCAGAAGCCACAGATACTACCCAAATCCCACTCTGAAATATCCTGCCAAGGGTTCCAACATCTCACAGTTTTGCCCAGATGTCCTACAGAGGTAATTCAACTATACTACTTAGATTATTTCACTCACTCCAGGACTAGCTTTCAAATTTATAGCTAAACTGAGCCTTGCTGCAGAATCAACTAGATTACTCTCTCCGAAGGAATTTTTTTCCAACTGCATTCAATTTCTTATTTTAAATGTTTGAATATTCTAAAAGACATAGGCCATGAGGCTTGGCTCTTGTTTTAACATAAAGTTAAAGGAATTATCCAAAAAAAAAAAAAAAGAATTATCCAGAAAAACACTTCAGTTTGAAATATATACTTTTTAACTTTGGAAAAAGAGATGCTGTCATTGTCTAAACATGCTTTGTTTCCAGAACACGCTCAGGACCAAGGTTAAACATTACAACTGACTCCACAAAAGTGTCTCAGACATTCCTGCCATAATAGATTGATCTCTGAGGATCTGATGTCATTGATAAAAGGAAAAAAAAAAAAAAAGCCCTCAGAATTGTAGAAAAAAGGAGGGACAACAAAGTGATGGAAAAGTCCAGGGAAGGTGGAGTTCAGAGTAGCAGGTTTGGTTTGATACTAGGAGAGCTGAAAAAGAGCCTGACAGTTCCTGCAGATCAGTAGCTCAAGTTGTTCAATGACTGACGTGATGTCGTTGGGATTTATGGATTAAGGGCTGGAAACTGGAGATGGAAATAACTTTGCTACATTTTTAACTCCCAGATATAAGGGCCTGGTCTCAGCCTCATTGGGCAGATTGTGTTACTTCCAACACAACTACTTTTGATTCCTTGAAAAAATGTTTTGGTTTATTTTTAAATGAAATTATTTTATATTTTAGAAATAATATAAGCACATTGCCAAAAAATAGCAATAATAGCAAAAGAAAACAATTACAAATTTATCACCTTAACATAACTACTTTTAGTATTCTGGAATATTTCTTGCTAGTTCCCCATTCCTATCCCCATTAACAGATTTGTAAATATAGTAATTACATTCATTTTGCATCCTCCCTTTTTTTTTTTTCCTCTGTTGCCCAAGCTGGAGTACAGTGGCACGAGTTCGGCTCACTGCAACCTCCGCCTCCCAGGTTCAAGCAATTCTCCCACCTCAGCCTCCTGTGTAGCTGAGATTACAGGCGCCCACCACCACGCCCAACTAATTTTTGTGTGTTTAGTAATGTTGGTCAGGCTGGTCTCAAACTGATGACCTCAAGTGATCCGCCCACCTTGGCCTCCTAAAGTGCTGGGATTACAGGCATGAGCCACCGTGCCTGGCCTTTTTTTTTTTTTCTTTTTCAAGTTGGGTTTCACCATGTTTCCCAGGCTGGCCTGGAACACCTGGGCTCAAGCTGTCTTCTTGTCGTAGCCTGCCAAGGGGCTGGAAACATAGCTGCACACCACCAAACCTTGCTTTCATCTTGCTTTTTTGTTTTTCCTAGTGCATTCTCATACTACTGCACAGTCTTCATATTCACAATCTTTAATTATTATAAAATGTTTTATTTAGTAGATGTAGTTTAGTTTATCATTCACATATTTCTGGTCATTTCCATTGTTCTTAAGTTTTTACTATTTAAATAACATTTTGATGACTGTTCATAAATATAGTCTTTTCCAAGTTTTGGACTGTTTACCTTAGGATAGATTTCAGAAAGTGGATTTGTATGCTATAGTTTGAATGTTTGTTCCCTCCAAAACTCATGTTGAAACTTAATCCAAGATGTGGCAGTATTGAGAGGTAGGGCCCTTAAGAGGTGATCGGGTCATGAAGGCTCTGCTCTCATCAGTGGATTAATGTGTTATCATGGGAGTGGGACTGGTGACTTTATAAGAAGAAGAAAGATCTGAACTAGCCTGTTAACATGCTCAGCTCCCTTGCCATGTGATGCCCTGCATTGCCTTAGAACTCTGCAGAGAGTCCTTGCCAGCAAGAAGGTTCTCCACCAAATGCTCCACCTTGACCTTGCCTCCAGAAATGTAATATTACTAAATAAATTTTGTTCTTATAAATTACCCAGTTTCAGGTATTCTGTTATACACAACAGAAACTGGGCAAAGACAAGGTATGACCACTTTTGTGGCTCTTGTTTACGTATTTTCATATTGCTTCACAAAAGGATTAAACCCATCTATAATGCTATCTACAATATAAGGACCAGTTTCACTGACCCCCTGCCAACCACTGGGCATTACCATTAAAAAATGTGCAATTTGGTAGGTAATAAATGATACTTCAAATAATAATGTTTTAAGTTGGATTTCTTTCTTATGTTGGATCTTTTTCCACATCGTTTACTCGTAGTATTTTCTCTGATTTGAATCCCCTGGCTCTGGCACTCTTCAATTGTGACCATAGGTATAAGTTGCTTAAATTATCTGAGCCTCAGTTTCCCCATTTGTAGAATGGTTACCCAAGATTGCCAAAGAACTAAAGAAGAACATGTATGTGACCAGTGACTAGCATAAAGAAAGCACTCAATAAATGGTAGCTATAATTTTGATTATTCATTTCCTTTGCCATTAATATATGGGATAGGTTTTTGTTTTTGGTTTTTTTTTGTTTTTTTTAGTAGAACCTCTTTATACAAAAGAGAACTTGACTGTTGGCTTTCAGTTTGCTGAATTATACTTTTGTTTCTCCTCCCCTTTGCCCCCTCCCCTCCAAGTCCTGTTTTGATTGTGTTGGAAGTCAGGTAATTTTACTAGCACTTCTGGTGATCATCCCAAGAAAAAACTGCCTTGAAGATGGACGGCAAGAAAGGGGCTGAATAGTCCACAAAATGAACTTTTAGGTTAATGACAGTTGGTTTCATGAGACATTAACTAATGAAAATCTAATGCAGTAAGAAATAATGTGTTTTAAAGGTCAGGCCAAAAAAGAGAGTCCAAGTTTTTGCTCTAGCTTTTTGTTAAGCCCCTGAACTGTGGGAGGGCTTTTAAATATAATAAAAATATTTTTAATATAAGCTAGGCATGGTGGCTCATGCCTGTAATCCCAGCACTTTGGGAGGCTGAGGCAGGAGGATCACTTGAGCCCAGGAGTTTGAAATCAGCCTGGGCAACATGGTGAAACCCCATATCTACAAAAAATACAAAAATTAGCTGGGCATGCCTGTAGTCCAGCTACTCAGGAGGCTGAGGTGGGAGGATCACTTGAGCCTGGGAGGTTAAGGCTGCAGTGAGCTGTGATTGCATCATTACACTACAGCCTGGGAGACAGAGTGAGACCCTGTCTCATATATATATATAAAATATATATATCTAATAAATATATCTAATATATAATAAATATATCTAACATATAATATATAAGATATATTTCCAAGAGAGGGAGAGGCTCTTAGGAAATTATCTTCTTGCATATTATGTTATATTATGCTATATTTGGCTATTTCCTAAGAGCTCTATTGTATTATTTTCATTTATTTGTGAGAATGTAGCTGTGGTAGATTAAAAATGGCCACAAATGCTTTGCAGCTACTCTCAGGAAGAAGTAGAGTCTGTTTCCTCACCTCTTGAATCTAAGCTAACCTTGTCACTTGCTTTGACCAAAGGAATGGAGCAGAAGTCATATTCTTCTGAGCCAGGCCTCAAGATGCCTTGCAGCTTCTGCCTTTAGCCCTTAGCCTCTTGGAGTGTATTACTGCCCTTGAAGCAGCTCAGCTAGCTTGTTGGAGGATGAGACCACATGAAGCAGGAGGAAGCTGTCCCAGCTGGGTCCCCTAGGCCAACCAGCTCTAAGGGGAGTCAAGAGATGACTGCTGCTGCTTGGGCAACCCTGGGGCCAACCACTATCAGAAGAACCACGCAGCCAAAACCAGCCCAAATTCCTGGCCCATAAGATTGTGAGAAAATAAAACGTAGTTGTCTTAAGCCACCGAGTTTGAGAGTAACTGGTTACATAGCAATAGATCAGCCAATACCATGTGCCAGAAATCTCACCCTTTGTAATATATAGTAAAATATGACCCATTGATCATTTCTTTAACTTATGACCATTTTGAAACCTCTAATTGATTTTCCTTATGGTCATTTTAAAACCTCGAAGCTGAAAGAATTTCCAAACATGTTAGCCAGCTGCACTAAGAAAATAAAGGTTGAAAAGGGTAGGGTTGTCATGGGGAATCCCAGAAGTAGCAAATCTCTTACTCCTCTCCCATTACATTACAAGTCTGTGGAACTGGGATAAAGTTACCTCACTAAATCCTATTTGCTCAATACTCTATACCTTTCCACTCCTAATTTCCCCATCTGTAAAATGAGGGTAATTTAAAACAGACAAAAAATAGTATTTACTCTCATCTCCCAGTGTTTCAGTGGTCTGGAGACATTTCTCCAAATAATAAACTTTTTGGGTAAAATGTTTTACCATATTAGTATAAGAGAAATTCTGTGCATGCCCTGGGGATTTCTCCCAGCTCACAAGTTTGTGTAGCTTTAACTGAGCCTGGGGCCTTAGGGAAGAGCAGCCGGGCTTTGTGACCTGGCTCAATCACCTTCTCAGATGTATTTCACCTGCAGGACAGTTCAAGTAACCTTGGGCACACCCCTTCTCTCCCTTTTGTAGATCGTCATTCTCAAGCATAACTATAGAATGTGCTGGGATGTAACATCCTGAGACTGAGGATAGGGGGTACTGACTGGAACAGCCAGGCTCTGTTCCAATTCCCCCGAGAAACAGGACATCTTTGTGCTTCAGCCCAGTGGGTCAAGTGAACCCCAGGTTATAAAACCCAAGGTGGTCCACCTTCCAGAGTCCTTCAGCTGTGGTGCAAGTGGAACATTTACAGTTGAGATTTCATCCATCTTGAGCAGCTTTCCTGAGCCTTGGGAAACAGGCTCTCCAGGAATCCTGTCTCACTAGACTCAGACAAGTTGGTAACCAGTGCACAGTGGACCTGCTTCACGTCACCTACGCTTTTAGGACAGAAATGCAGTTCTAAAGCACTGGCCTGTTTTCACTTACCTTATCCCTCTCAGAGGTGTATTGCAGAGACATTTTGTTCAGGGCTTCGCTTTAATTTTTCTCATTTCCCACCCCCTTTTCTTTCTAATCATTACTAACTCCTACTTCACATCAGTCATGAGGGTCAAAAGTGACAGTGTTAATCACAGGGCCTAGTGCACTGCTGAGTGCTTTGAACTGGCCCCAGAACAACCAGCTTTTCCTCTGATTTGCAGCTATCTTTGTTTTCCTTGGCATTTTAGTGTCGAGTAGGATGAGGTCACAGTACTACTGACTGACCTTGAAGGTGAGGTAGTTGCAAGGAAAAGCTGGCCTTTCTGGGGATGGATAAGATGACCATTCAAAATTCACCTGTGGACTTTTGGGAAACCTGGCACAGAATGATGAACCAGATACCAACATGTTTTACGGCTCATCAAAATTGACATAAGTGGAATATGTTAGGCTGGACCACAGCCTTATGAATTCAGGGTGAGTTGAGGAGTATTCAGATTGGTCCAGATGATGGGCCCCACATCTGAATCAGGATGCTCATCTGACTCACAGTGTGACCAGAATTAATTCAGATGGTAAAGCTAAACCTTTCTACTCCTTTATATCCGAGTTCTAAAATAATCGACTCCACTTTCTTCCTCTTTCTCCCTCTAAACTTTTGATATAGAGTGATGCATTTCATGCATATTTGTTTAACATCCCCCTTAGCTTCTGGGCTGCAAGACAATATCCATGCACAGTTTACAGAAGGAATTCCCTCAACCTTCATAACAAAAAACAAAAAACCAAAGCAAGCAAACAAACAAAATCCTCTGCCCTGTTTTCTGTTTGCACTGGAGCCTCTTCTTTTCTCATTCTCCTACTTTCTGCTTTAGAGCCACTAAGAAACCCAGTCTCCATCTGTGCCTGCTTCACAGCCAGAGCAGTTCTCATTTCTCACTAAACCATGTGTTGCCCATATGTCTGTGTGCTATGAACGCAAGAATCCTGGTGAACTATCACTGTTTAAGCTGCAGAGAGTCAGTTGGTCAGTGCTGCTAGTGTTCTGGGTCCCTTGACCCAGCTCACTGATAGAACCAGATGATGCTGACCAGAAAACCATCTGGTTCCCATAGTTCTAAACAAGTATATTATTAAACAAAAATAATTTTTGCTGTGAACTTTTTGGCTTAGTTTTGTCATGGTTTACCACATCTTTTTCCCTGCCGCCTCCTCCTTTTTATTGCAGTACAATTAGCTAACCATACAAACCAAACAACACAGAAGCTGAACTTCTAGATTAAATAAAGCATAGGGCATCTTGAGGGTTGATGTGGATGCTCTAGTAAACAAAAACCTTCAGTGTGCACAATAGAATAGAACAAGATTGTTAATAACCTTGTAATTTCTGAGGATTTTCAAAAAGATTTCTTAGTTTTCTTCGTTCTTCATATTTTGCTAACTCCAAGTTTTTCCTGTTAATTTGTGTTGATCAGTATCTTCCACTTTAGAGACCTTCCTCTTATGTCTGGTAATCCTTTTGTTCATGATTAAGAGTGGAGGACTAAAAACTAATCGGAAGGTCTGAGTACATGCATCTCTATTGTAAGCTTCAATGAAGGATGATCTAGGTGGGTTATTTGTTGGGAACCCCCCACCCAGCCGTCAGTTATTTTAGGTCTTTCATCTTGGGCTAGTCAGGGTTCCCAGAGAAGAGGCTACCAATCTCCCACCTGGAGAAAAAGATCTGGCCACCAAGTTCTTGATGCTCAGTTGGAAAAAGTGCTTGAATATCTCTGCACTCAGCATTCAGTCACTTAGTTAGCCTAGCAACCCTCTGTTTTACTATCTCTAGAGTAGTGGGCAATTAAAGAACAATTTTGGCCCTCGCCTCCACCAGAGAACATTTGGTAAGGTCTGGAGGGATGGGATCTTACGTGCTACTGACATATAGTGAGTAGAGGGCAGGCATGCTATTAAACATGTACAGTGCACAGGATACACACACACACCCCACTACAAAGCATTATCTTGTCCAAAATATCCATAGTGTCAGGGATGAAGAAACAGAATTTAGGAAATAAATCTCCAAGCTTCTGTTTAGGGTGGGGAGAGACAGTTGCCCAGATTTATGGAGCAGAAGCTGGAATATAGAGATCTATCTACTTCTTAAGAATCTCTAACTCAGTCATCATTATTTTCATCACCACTCTTAAGCCAGTTCCAAAGGTACACGGTGCTCCCAAGCTTGAAGATTGTGGTGTAAATCAGATTTTTTTTTCCAGCTTTCTCTACTGTTGGCTTAGGATTCAAAGCAGTTTCTGGTCTGCTAAATTAGTCCATCTATTTTCAAGCTTCCAAATTTTTGTTGCTCTTATCTCCTCTCCTGTTTTCCTTATCCATGTAGGCCCTCACTCTTCATGTCTAGTTTTGGTAGGGTTTCAAGAGGAACAAAATTATATGTGTATATGCAGTCTACTATTATTAATCCAGAACCCGAGATCTCTAGTTTTTTACATGGAGATATGCCCATAGTATATTAAAAAGTAGGTTACAATGTATTTTGGAAAGTATGATTCTATTTTTTTTAAAAAAGGCAAAACACAAACTTTCTATAACTATTTCTAATCTCTTTGTGCACAGAAAAAAAAATCTAGAAGAATAAAATACCAGCAATGGTTATGTCCAGGTGATGATAGGACAATGGATATTTACTTTCTTCTTTAAGCTTTTATATGTAGATCAAATTTTTCATAATGAGTACTTCATTTATATACAGAGGTTCAGAAAAATTATAAAACGCTTGAAAATAACACAAAAGATGATGGTATGTCCTTGGAGTGTCAACCTAGAACACTGTTTAACAGGCCTACCTGGAGAATTCTGTAGGAAATCATGCCTTTGTTTGACATACTATTTACTGTTCACTAAGGCCCCAGCTCAATGAAGTTACATGTTAATTGTTATATTTTTGTCCAGGAAAGATGCAAATTATTTGTATCTCGTAGAAACTGTAACCCCAAGGTTATAGATTTAATAACTTGTAAGACATTTTTAGATCTAACCTAACACTCTTAATCCAACATTCTTTCATCAGTTCCTATAAATACTAAGTTCATTCAAATGCTCTACGTACTGGCTTTGTCATTTTGTTGGTCCTCTGATTAGTGAATTAAAGAAATCTTTGACACATGTTTATATTTGTATGAAAATTATATTTTTAACTTTTGGAAAATTCGACTTTGACACCAATGGAATCATAAGCTATTTCCAATCTGAGGATAGAAAAAAAAAAATCCAATGAATACCTCAACCATGGCAAAGAAAACACATTCTGAGTCCAGCCCTGACTGCTGTCCTGCCTTGTCCCATGGCAGTGCTTAAATTGAACATGTTTGAGCCCTGACTCCTGCACATACCTTTGGACAGCCAGCAACGCTGAGAGACGTGAGGTTAATGCAGTAAATGGCCAGTGCTTTGATAATCATATCTGACAGCTGGGAGCAATAAGAGACATCCAAATGTTCCAAGATCAGTGAGCTTTTGCAGAATGCCTGCAAGAAATTCCAAGGTCAATTTTTTCTTTTCTTTAGTCATCTAGAGCTATCCTACTAATAGCAGCTTATTAAATGTACATTTCAGTCCCTGAAATACAGATGTTAGATCTTGATGCCCCCAAAAAATAATTTTTAAAAAACCCATGTTACATCCAACATCTCTTTATAGCAAAAGATATTCACAAAGCAGCTTAACAGCTTAGTGATATTCAAATGCTTGCTAACAAAATTTGGTTTTCTTGAAGTTAGGTCTAATGAAATTTGACTCACATGGTCAGTAATTATTAATTACATTCAGCCAAATGAGTGGAAGAAAAGAAATCTGAGGGTAAGATTAGATGGCAGACGCTCCAAGATTGACAGTGGAATGTAATGGAAAGAACAAATTCTTTGGAATCAGACAGATCCGAGTTTTACTTTCATTTCTATCACTTACTGCCTCTGAAATCTTAGCAAGCTGTTACCTTTCTGAGCCCCAGTTTCCTTTTTTTTTTTTTTTTTTTTTGAGAGTCTTGCTCTGTTGCACAGGCTGGAGTGCAATGGTGTGATCTTGGCTCACTGCAACCTCCGTCTGCCAGGTTCAAGTGAATCTTGTGCCTCTTGCGCCTATTGGGATTTCAGGCGTGCACCACCATGCCCGGCTAATTTTTTTTTTTTTTTTTTAGTAGAGATGGGGTTTCTCTAGGTTGCCCAGGCTGGTCTTGAACTCCTGACCTCAAGTGAGCCACCGTCCTCACCTCCCAAAGTGCTGGGATTACAGGCATGAGCCACCGTGCCGAGCTCCTCTTTTTTAACTTAGGGAAAATAATATCTACTCTCTAGCATTGTTTCGAAATGCTGAAATGTTCACCTGAAACATCTAGGGCTAGAAAAAGGCCTGGAAATCATTCCTTTATATCAATACTTCTTAATTTTCATTCCTACTTTTCAGTTAAAAAATAACTCAGTGATAAGAATCCATGAGGAAATAACACTTAAAAGTTCACAACTCAGCAGTTATACAAGAACAAAATGATCCACAAAAGTAAACCTGTCATTGCAAAAATATATTTAAAAAGCAATAGGAGTGGAAATTGGAAACCATGATAGAAAGAAAGAGAGAGAGAGAGAAAGAAAGAAAGAGAGAGAAGTAAGGAAAAAGAAAGAGAGGGAGGAAATTTCCTCCCCAAAATGTGAGATTATCATAACTACATGTGCTCAATCACTCTTAAGGATTCTGCCTCATTATGAAGCAGCTCCTCTTAGAATACAAAGTTAGAGACCTCAATAAATGATAGTTTACCATTAATTTCAGTTGTAAGTACTAGTCCACTTCTTATTTATATGTAAAAATAGATGTCCATTGGACTACATGTGATTTTCCTCTCAGGAATAAGAGAAGGGTCAGTGCCTGGGCATCAGAATGACAGTTTACAGGTAAAACCACCAGTGGGCCTCTCTCCCACTGCTTATGCCAATTTTCTCTTGTTTTAGCCCTAAGGAAGTTTGGAAAGAACTAGTTAGCCAGCTATTTTCTTTAGCAAGTTAACAGAATAGGGAAGATTTCCAGGAGAGGCAGTGTAGCCTAACAGTTAAAACTAGGACTGTGGCATCACACAGAGTGGGGTGAGAAGCCTGGCTCTGCTACTGTGGGTTACTGAACCTCTCAGAGCCCCAGTGTCTCCTTGGGCAAAATGGTAATAATAATACCCATATCAAAGAGTGGTTGTGTAGATTATATGAAATAATATATATATACCTGATGTGGCTCTTAGCACAAAATAGATTCTCTAGCTATCTCTAAGATTTTATATACTGTGTTATAGTTGAGAGGCAGTATGCACATTGGCTAGTGCTTGGCACATAGTGAAGACCCCATAAAAGTTAACTAGTGCTTACTTCAGCAGCACAGATACTAAAATTGAAAAAAAATACAGAGATTAGCCTGGCCCCTGAACAAGGATGACACAGATTTGTGAAACATTTAATTTTTTTTTTCAGTTAGGAGGAGAAAGTTCAAGAGATCTATTGTATATGATGACTATAGTTAATAATAATGTATTGTATACTTGAAATTTGCTAATGGATTTTGAATGTTCTCACCATAAAAAGTATCATAAGTATGTAAGGTGATGAATGTTAATTAGCCTGATTTAACCATTCCACAGTGTGTGTGTGTGTGTGTGTGTACAGCATGTTGTACTTCATAAATATATACGATTTTTATTTGTCAGTTAGAAATTTTAAAGCCATTAAAAAGAATAAGATAAATGTTAACTACTGTCAGGATTTGCACATGACACCAATAATAATAAAGATGCACACATGTATTGTACTTTGAGAAAAACTGAAAGATATTGGTTATTTAACCCTAAGTCATCATCTTTTCCTGACCACAAAGCCAACAGTGATTCATTCTTTGATCTCATGCAGAACTTGTCTTTTTCAACTGATTCAGCACTTAGGGTATTTGACTAATTCCTGTATTGCATGAAAATCTGTCTTGTCTGGCAACTACGTGATGGCAAAAATTAGAAGGGGCAGCTTGTCAGGAGATAGCTTGGGACCTGTCGCTGCAGATAATCAACATAGTGGGGCACACCCAAGGAGGTACAGAAAGGAATCTACCTTTAAATTATTGCAATCAGTGGCCTTGAATCTCAGTTTGGAGATTCAATAAGAATGCAGTAAGTCTCTTGTACTGCCTGGAAATCTGCTTTCATAGCCCTTTCCCAAACATCATATTAGAACACAGTAAGTGTTCAATAAATACTAGTTGGTTCATTGATCCTTTATGTATTCAAGAAAATTAAGAAGTCTCTTTTAATAATACAAGAATTTTTATGTTGCAAGGAGTAAAGTGACATTGTTTTCCCTTGTTAGAGACATTAACATTGTTAGAGAGAATGGACAGAGTTAAAGGAACCAGAGAAAAATTAAAGCAAGAAAGAATATTTAAACTATAAGAATAATTTATTGAAGGACGAAACAAGCTTTAAAGGTAGATTCAAGGCTCTTTGTGTCTGCAAATCCTCTTCAGTAGCATCTGCCAATGTCTTGGACTGCTCAAATCAATTCTGCCTTATGCCTTTTTAAAAGCTCTAATATTCTTTAAAGCCAAATGTTCTCAGAGATTTTAAATTTTAAAATAATTTAAAAATGATTACAAGGTCTATGATACATTCATGGTACCATTCTCATCCATGGAAAACCTGAGGCACAAAAATTGGTCTAAGGCTTTATGCTAAATCAGTGGCAGATTGGCGAACTAAAGTCAGAACTTTTCCCCTCTTATAATCTGTGTTTTCCTTTAAACACATATAAGTCATATTAAGTACTTAAATCTGCAAGCATGTTTCAACATAATCACTCATGAAATTCCATTTCCCCCTACAGATAAGATTACAGTATACACTTCTGGCTCCAGTGCTGCAGAATCATACTTCTATCCATGCTGCCGATTTTCTTTTCTTGGAAAATACAACACTAAGTTTCTTCCAAGTCAAAATCTTTTACAGTAAAGACAGAGATAAAATGCTAACATTATAAAGTTTGGCTCCTCTCCCGTGTATCAGCCAATTTTGCTGTGGGTTAACAATCTGGAAGAAAACTTCCATATCTCTTAGCGAGTTAGATCATTCCTTCTTGTGTCTTCTGAGCTGAGTCACAGTGTAGGGGCTTAATGACTACATTCCTAAATAGGGGATATAGAGGAGACTGAATTTCACTCACATTGATTGACTGTCACAATAATGTGCTTCTGCCAAAATCCTGATTTAAACCACTTTGACAGGTGGCAGCTTCTAGCCTTAGAAAAGCTCACTTTGTGCTGCAGACCCGTAACACCATCTCTTGACTATTCGCCTCATTAGGTCCCAATTAATTCTACTGCAAAGTTGGGGAGTTTTTCCTTGTTTGTTGGTAATTCTGGGGAAAAAATGTGCTGGCAAGAACCATTTTCTATAATGAAGACATTTTTGGCTGCCCCAAAGGCTAAAATGCAACTTCCACAATTTTAAGAGATCAACTAAATACAAAAACTTCAGTTTCTTGGGCCTCGTATTTGAGGCCCAAAATATCTACATCGCATATCCCATGAGATGCAGAACTACACTCCACCAACAATGGCCTTGTTCCCACTGGGCATCAGAGCAAGTGTGACTGGTCATGGCCTGGCACCACAACTAAACTCTGCAGAGCCTGAAGCTGCCCCTCCCGGAGATGCCACTCTTGCATTCCCACCCTCCCTGCCAGGGAAACCAGGCTGAGCAAGGCTTAGCGAAGGCCCAGCCTCAGAGGAGCTCACTGTTTTAAAACATGGAGAGGACTCTGAAAGGGAAAGGGGGACAAGGCCAAGGACCAAAACAAGTATTTCCAAAGACACTTTCATGATGAAAGTTGTTACAAAATTAGATGGTGATTTGAGGGATAAACTTTGGCTTCATACCAGCTCAAATGTGGTTTATTCTACAGTCTTCCCCAATTCTTCCCTGTGGAAGAAATGCGCTCTCAAATTCTTATAAGCTTTTCTTTCTTTTTTGACAGGGTCCTGCTCTGTTGCCCAGGCTGGAGCATAGTGGCATGATCATAGCTCACTGTAGCCTCGAATTCCTGGGCTTGAATGATCCTTCTACCTCAGTCTTCCACATATGTGCATGCTACTGTGCCTGGCTAATTTTTTAATTTTTATAGAGCCAGGGTCTTGCTATGTTGCCTAGGTTGATCTCGAACTCCTGGCCTCAAGTGATCCTTCTTCCTTGGCTTCCCAAAATGTTGGGATTACAGGCATGAGCCACCACGCCCAGGCAACTTTCTCACTTTCTACTTGTATTATAGTTATTCATACAAGTGTCTTATCTTCTGCATTGACTGTAGCTTCTTGAGGGTAGAATCCATGTCTAATTTATCTTTGCCAACACCTGGCCTGCAGAATTAGTTCAAGATGAGAGAGTATCCAAAATGAATGAAGAATGCTTCTCAGCACAGGAGTGAGGAGAATGAGCTTCCTTAGATGAACCTCAGAATACTAAGCCCTGTCCTTCTTCTCACTTGGCTCAGTAACTGCCAGAGGCAGCATACAGGGTTGGTTAAGAGCACAGTCTGGGGGCCCACTGGCTTGAGTTCAAATCCTGCCATGAGATGTTTTGTGTCTATGGATAAGTTACTCAACCTCTCTTACCCCTCAATATTCTCATCTGTGGCGTGGGAATAACATAGGAGTCACTTAATATGAGGAGTAGCACCTACTTCATTGAGTTGTTGGGGAGCTTAAATGAGTTAATATGAATAAAGCAGTTGAACAGTACCTTGCACATAGTTAGCAGTCAGTAGATAGTAGCTAGTAGCTAGTAGTATTATTTGTATGCACTGCTTCTCTGTGGCTGATTGCCAAATTTTAAAAATCATGAACACCATAGTAAAAAAAATTTTTTTTTTTTTTTGAGACAGAGTGTCACTGTGTCACCCAGGCTGGAGTGCAGTGGCATGATCTCGGCTCATTGCAACCTCCACCTCCCGAGTTCAAGAGATTCTCGTGCCTCAGCCTCTAGCTTAGATTACAGGTGTCTGCCACCACGCCCAGCTAATTTTTGTATGTTTAAGTAGAGATGGGGTTTCACCATGTTGGCAGGCTGGTCTTGAATTCCTGATCTCAGAGATCTGCCCACCTCGGCCTCCCAAAGTGCTGGGATTACACATGTGAGCCACTGTGCCTGGCCTAGTAAAATTATATTTTGAGCATACGCTTTCAATAAATGTATATTAATGTACTTTGTAAATTATATAGGCATATAACTATTCAAATATATATCATATATTTAAACATATAAAATAAAATGTATGAGATAAAAAATAAATCTAACATTTCTAGGACTTTTAATATTTTCTCATCACATCAAAAAAATTGTGTTATTCATTTGCTGGAGTACGTACTTTCTCTGGAGACGCCTACCCAACAGCACACCTTTGGTTGCCAGTAAATCTTGATGGCTTACTGGCTGCACAGATCCTGAGCATTTTGTAAAAATAAGGGCATCATTTTTAACATATAAAATATCACAGATGCATAAAAAGAAGGCAAATTGGAAGAAATTAAAGAACAGAAAGGGTAAGCAGTGAAAGAGAATGTATATTGGGAAAACCAAAAGGAAAGATGACCAGGAAAAGACCAAAACAAAATATCTTTGAATTGTATTTGGTAACTAGAATTTGTTGAGAAAAATTTTAGAACAGCTTCAGGTTTTAGATTTTCTCTCCAAAATAAAAATGAACCAGGGTTGGACTACCCAAAAGGCAATCAGATATTTTTCTTGTTGCCTGTGGCATAACCCACACTTTTTCCATTTATTTAAGTTTATTTTAAAAAGGGGTGCCTAGTGGCCCAATCACCTGGCACCAGTCCAGGGTCCTCTGTGGGACAAGAAAGGTGGGGGAATTCCTTAAGCTAAAATAATCAGCCTGAAAGAGTTGATGGGTGTCTATTTGCACAGCCAGACACCTCACCTTTTGTTCTTAGTGTTTCCCAAGAAAATGACAACTCAAAATGTTTACTGTAAGGACAGTCACACCATCCTATGACCTCCTCCATTTAAGGATCTCTAAGAAATAATGAGTTCATGAACTATTATCAGTACTGCTTTCACCTCCCATTTGTGGACATAATAGAATAAGAGGTGATCTAATCAAGGGAGGCTACCAGTCTAATGGAAAAAAACAGAGCCTGGAATCTGAAATTGTATCTATGTGACCATGAACAAGTCATTTAACCTCAAGTTTCTTCATATATAAGAGGAGAATGAAAATAACTGTCTACCTATCTCACAGGCCTATTAGAAGATGAAAAGAAAATGTGTATTCTAAAAGCTCTTGGAAGACATGGACCCTGGGTTTTGTCTGTGAACCAGAGAGATCCTGGAACGATCCTATCTGTGATGTATGTGATGAGGGCTTTAGGATGAGGAAATATAATAAACAAAATTTAACTGGAACTGATAGGGAG